TACCACGTATGAGGAATGGGGAATTTGATAAGATGTTGCGGGCTCAGGCACTGAGGTGGGAGAGTCTCTTTTAAGCTTAGGGGCTGGCAAGATGGCTCAGTGAGCAAAGATACTGCTGCCAAGCCTCACAACTGGAGCCCAGTCACTGGAACCCCCACATGGTGGAGAGAGAAAACCTACTCCCAAAATTGTCCTTGGATCCCCACATTCACACCATGGCACATGAATGCCCACACACACAAAGAAAACAAATGTAATAAAAAATAATAATAGACTGAGTTCTAATGACTCATCCTAAAGCTGTGTCGTGCAGGCCAGACACAGAGACACACTAGGCTGGAGTTGTAGCGGGAAAACCTTCAGTCAAAGTCTTTGTCAATATGGTCATGAACACTGTTTAAACAACACTGAGTTTTAAGAATAAGAAATTCTCTTTTTTAAAACCACTTGGTATGTTTTTAGGACTCAAGTTAACCAGTCTTGTGAGTGTCAGCTACTCCCATCTCCAGCACTGACCTGACCACCATCATCATGGCGACCATCTTTGAATCACCACAGCAGTGGGTAGAGTGCCTCACATGACAACAGGAAGCAGTTTCCACTTGTTGTAAAAGTCATTCAACTAGGTGATGATTATAGACTTGGGATGAAATCTGCCAGGATTGCATGTTCGAACTCTTAGAGCACTTCCAGTGTTCTAGGTTCTGATTTAGGAAGGGAAGACAATAACCCCCCCCAATTCCTCCTGCTGCTACTTCTCTCCTCTGCTTCCCCTCCTGTCTCTCCTCTTTCTACTCCCTCTCTTATTTTGAGTCAGGGTCTCTACATAGCTCTAGAACCCTAGAACTCACTATTTAGAACAGGCTGGTCTTGACCTCACAGGTTGGTCTACCTGCCTTTGTTTCCTGAGTGCTGGGATTAAAGGTGTGTATCACCACAGCCGACACTGTTATTACTTTTGAAAATTTTTTCATACAACAAATTCTGATCACAGTTTGCCCTCTCCCAACTTCTCCCAGATCTTCCCCTCCTCCTCACTCACCATGCTGCATGCTTCTCTCTCTTCAGAAAACAAACAACAAAAAACTAAAGTTAAAAGACATAAGAAACACACACACACACACACACACACACACATACACACACCTTCTTAATCAGTCCAAACTAACCCCAGAAAGCAATGGGATATAAAAGTCCATACTGTAATTACTGACATTTTGTAATCGACAGTTTACAATAGTCTTGGGAGGTATTAAAGAGCCCGTTGCTATTCTCTTTTACAGAAGAGATACTTAAAGAGAGTGAGTGACTTGCTAGGAACCTAAGAAAATGAGGATATTATTTTTCAGATACTGGAGCTTGGGCTAAATTCTCTGAAACCAAACTTGACTTTGTGTCTAATCACGTGGATGTCGTTATCTTCGGCAAATGTTTCCTTAGGAAACCTGAGCCGTGGAAACGTCTTCCAGAGGGCGCCCGGGTGGCAGGTGTCTTCCCCATTTCCACTTGACAAAAGAGCTCTCCCGCTCTGCTCTCTCATGTGGGGGTCAACAGCAGCTCTCAGTTGGGTGTCTCCCTAGGAACGCTTGGGGAGCTCTAAAGCCGGAAGCCCAGTCACACGGCAGGACCTTGCTTTGGGTTGCGTTGTGTTGCTCTAGGCTGCACAGTGCCTTTAGGATGGCTGCCAGTCATTCGTCAGCATCCTGATCTACTTCTTCCTCATTGGTCGTCTAAGGTTCCATACTTTCTACAAATTTGTAGATTTGGCCAAATTAAAATCTCAGCGCTCCCCACCCCCTGCAACTTTAAAATTATATAAAAAGTAGTTTTCAAGATCTCCAGGTGGGAAACAATGGGCCTCAGCTTTGAAATCAGGTTGGTGGGCTCTGTAGACAGTTATCAAAAGGTATTTTTTAAAAACTTATAAAATAACAAAACATGCTGGGAATTAATCTGTTTGCTTTCTATGATGTATAGAACTCGATTCTACAGAGCTGCTGGGGTCATTGTGCAGTTGTGGCTGAGACACTGCTGTAGTGGCATCTTCATTTTACAGAACCAAAGAAACAAACCTTTATTTTCCTTTCCACCTTCATTTAACACAATGGATTCTGACCAGATCTCTTTGAAACTTGCAAGCGATAGTGTGAGATTGGATATATAGCCCAGTGACAAGGCATTTACCTGGCGTATTTGAGGTCCATCACCAGCATTGTAAACAAAACCCCAAACCCAAGCCAACTAAACAGCCACAACAACAAAGAAAACAACAGTTGTGGCCTGAGTTCTATAAATAATAGTAATGATGAGGATGATGATGATGATGATGATAGTGATGATGACTAATACCTAAACAGCTGTTGATAGTCAGACTTGCCATCTCTGTGTCAACATATTTGACAAAGGACTTACAGAGAGAAAGGTTTGATTGTCTCATGGTCTTGGGGGTTTCTGCCCGTGGTTTTCCTGTCCGTGGTTTTCTGACTCCATGTACTTTGACAGGACATTGTGGAAGAGTGGTATGTGGAGGAGGAGGCTGCCTACCTCATGGTGGACAGGAAACAGACACGGGAAGGGACTGGGGACCACATGTGACCTTCAAAGCCACACCTCCAGTGACCTGCTCCTCCTAGCTAAGTCACCTCTCAAAATAACATAACCGCCTGGAGACAAGGGTTCAATACATGGGACTGTGGGTGACGTTTCAGATTCACAACACATGAGTGATGTCTACAGGGGATACAAACTGTACCGGGGCATCAAGGTTGCCTTTATTCATGCTGTTAGGAAGCCTTGTATGAAGATGTTTGTTAGCGCTGTGTGTCCCTGTGCATCCCTTGTTTAGCAAGAGCGCTATGTGAGCCCTCTTAGATAGGAAATTTAAATGAAAGACCATGTACCCATAGCCAAGCATTCAAGGACTGTCTGATGGGTGCCATTGCAGATTCTGTGCTAATGTATTATTTCTTCAGATAATCCTAACCATGTGTTTTCATGAGAATGACATAGAAAAGGTTCTGATGAGCCTCTAAGGGACTAGGGAAACTCCTTCATAGAATACAAGATGGGGGAAATTAGTGTATCTCAGAAATATTAAGCTACACAAAATAGGGATGTCCTATGATTTTTCCCTCTTTTTTTTTAAATTTAAATTAGAAACAAGTTTGCTTCACTTGTCAATCCCAGCTCCCTCTCCCTTCCTCTCCCGCCACCCTTTTAGCCCTCCCCCTAGCCCCTCCCCCAATCCTCACTCTACTCTCCAAGGAGGGTGAGGCACTTCATGGGGTATCTCGAAAGTTTGTCATATGATCTGGGGCAGGGTCTAGGTCCTCCCCCATGTGTCCAGGTGGAGACAGCATCCCTCCATGTGGAATGGGCTCCCAAAGTCCATCTGGATGACAGGGATAAATACTGATCTATTGCCTGAGGCCCCAAAGAAGGCTGAGGCCTCCTCACTGTCACCCATGTTCAGGGGGTCTGGAACAGTCCCATACTGGCCTCTCAGTCATCAGTCTGGGTCTATGAGCTCCCCCTTGTTCAGGTCAGCTATTTCGGGGGCTTCACCCACCACGTCTTAACCCCTTTGCTCATCACTCCTCCCTCTCTGTAACTGGGTTCCAGGAGTTCAGTTCAGTGTTTAGCTGTGGGTGTCTGCCTCTGCTTCCTTCAGCTACTGGATGAAGGCTCTAGGATGGGTCTGCTTACTGCTTTCCACGATGTAGTAGCATCTATCTAAAGATCTGTATGTATATTTCCGTGAGAGACTTGATTACTGTCCCTGCTGGATGTCTGGAACTCTCGAGGCCCACAACCCCAAGGCCTGTGTCCCTTTTTAAAGTCAGAATTTTTCCAGCACCCATTCCTGGCCTGGACCCAGTGGGTGACTGGTATGAAAGAACAGGTGGGTAAGAACCCGTCCTTTCTTTTTATTGTTTATGTTGCTTTAAGAAATGCTTTCTTGGGCCGGGTGGTGGTGGCGCATGCCTTTAATCCCAGCACTCAGGAGGCAGAGGCAGGCGGATCTCTGTGAGTTCGAGGCCGGGCTTTCTTGCTTAAATTTAGCTACAGTTCCACTTTACTCAGGAGTTTTGCAATGCACTTTTAACGCTAACGAATAACGAAATACTAAAACGTTAGGGATTTAAGAAAAATATTTAATTTTACTGCAATGTTTGGTATTAAGTTGAATTTGGAACACATGCTGTCACTTTTTTTTTTAAGCTATCCATCCCTTGTTAACACAGCAACTATTTTCATTTCTTTAAAGGACACTGTCCTTAGGCTGGAGGGATGCTGGAATTTGAGTACCATTTCTTAAATCTCTTTAGGGGTGTGTTCTCACTCCCATCTCTCTGGGAGCTTCCTAAACTCTAACTGTAAATGAGGATGAGTGAGTTTTATTCCTTGGTACCTAAAATGCAAACGCCCCCTAGAGGCGGAGTGTGCAGTGAGCTCACAGAATGGCTTTAGGCCTTATCTGTCTGAGGTGCTAAGGAGGGGACTTCACCTTTAGCCCTAGAAGCCAGGAGCAATACAGCTCCCACCCAAGACTGTCATCAGTATGCTCTTACCAGCCATCATTGGAACTGTTTTTTCACATGCCTTTCTCATGTGAGAGCTTGGGATTGTTTAAACAAGATTAAATGACCATGAACTGAGTGCCTCTTGACAAAAAAAAAGTTCATATGAAGCCATGGAAAGAGTTGTATCAATGGAGTGAGCCATTAAAATGCCCCCTTCTTATTTCCCAGTAATTTTGGATCAGCTGATGAATAGTAGCCTTAGACCAAAAAGACAGTGAACCCTGAAAGAAGTCACTCCACAGGCGAGGAGAGCAGCGAAGTCCTGCCGGAAGCACGGGGCTGATCCACGGTAGAGCTGGCTGAGCTTCGTACCAGCTAATGAAGGGTTGATGCCGCATAGGTTCGGTGTCACGACGATCTGTAATAGCAGACTGGACGGTCATGTATGTTTTATTCATCCTTTGTTATGTTTTCCAGAGGGATAACCAATTGGCTGATAAAGTAACAAATGAGAAGTAACCCGACTCCACTGACCTGTGCACCCCAGGGGGAAGGATGGGACGGAGTGGCGCTTAGCTTTGCCACAGTGGAACGGGTATGGAGTAGAGCTCCTCTGCTCGCTGCCACCGTCGTTTCTCTGCACACCTGCTTCCAGACCCGGTGAAAACAGCAAGTTCTTCCTGTCGGGAGGGCAGAATTGGAGTCACAGGAACAGGTACTGTTGGGTATTGGGAACACGCCTGAATTGCCTCGTCGTTGGGTTGCTGTTTATGTAAATACTAATGCAATTAAGAATCACTTATGTCCAAGTAGCAAATAAATGATTGTGCTAGGGACAGTGATGACTTTTAAAACATGGTGTCCCTTTTAGATTGTGAGAAGTCCCAACAAAATGGTAGGGCCTGTTCTTTCCCCCAGTGACAGCCACTGAACGGCGTTGTCTGTGTTTAACCGACTGATCTCCCATAGTTTTATTTTTCCCTATTTTTTCATAATTTGTGTACAGCAACGTGGCAAAAGAATACTCTTGGATTTCTGGAATAAGGGTTTTTAGAATATTAGTTTTATTGTGACGCAGTGCCAATCTCCAGCACAGCACTGAACCTTCTTTCATTTTTAACTGTGACCCAGAAGCAGGTGAACAGAATACAGTTTGAATACAGCGGTCAGTGCTTTAAGATATTATGAGGTTAGTAGAATTGTAATGCAGCCAAAGTCACTTTCAGTTCAGAAGATTGAGTATCACATACTGAGTGATCAAATGTCAATTACTTGATGATTTTGCAAGACATCATTTCCCCCATTGGATAGCTTATAGGATTTTGCTTAGGAATATCAGCATAAACATTTTAAAATTTATGAAAATTAAATTTACATGCAGGATTAAATAAAGCTATGGGCCCATTATTTACTCAAGGTTGGTTAGGAAGAGGTTTTATAGGCAATTTTTGACTATGGTTATCTAGTTGGTATTTCTTGGGACATAATATCTTCATTTTCATATAAGGGTTCCTATATATCTGAGATGAAATAACATATGGATAGTACATGAAGAGCCTGGTTTAGAGCCACGTGAGGAAATGAAGGATATGTCATTAAGCTTACACATGAAGAAAACAGGCAGTGTCACAGTGTCCCTGCAAGTTTCTGTCTCTAGAACCAGCCAACTAATAACCACATTGGCCAACTTAATATGTTCCCATATAATGCAAATGCCTCAGGACATTTTTAATACCTTAATTTAGAGACATTATAGTCTAAAGAGAAATATTTTAGTCATAAGGCAAAGAGGGCATAAAATATAGCAAACTTTATGCCACCCATTGGGAGTATAGATCAATCTATACCTAAAGGCAACAGTCCACTACTACATTTAACTTAGAAAGAATAAATTATAACACAGATTTCTAAAGGAAATGTTGATTTGAAAAACCTCATAAACTGAAGGGTCACTATGCTTACCAGGATATAGATTTCCATATAGGAAACTAGGCAGTGAAATCTGTCTTTGCTTTTCCATTGAGAAGAGGAATGTATGGAAACATGGGCCCCGGGGCAGGGAAACATCCCACAATGATGTATCCATGACTTTTCTTTGGAGGGCTTAGGCATAGCCCAATCTCTCTGTTACACACAAGGGACAATTTTGAAAGCAGCAGCTTTAGGAGAAAATAATATTACAATGCTGTCTGAAGGTATTGCCAGGATCCCTGTCCTGCCTTACTCCCAGTAGAAAGTGTTCTGAATCAGTATGCGGGCACTCTCATCCCTAGGAACCTTGGAGGTCCCCTGTAAATCATATGAATGCTAGTGCTAGTATGTTTTGCTGTAGGTGCTCTTATTACCAGTAAAATGAAGCCAGATACCAAATCTAATGCACTCACTTTCTATCTTGGACTGGCCAGCAGGGGTCAGCATTGAGAACCAGGAGTTTTGGAATGGAAGGTGAAGAGCGCCTTGTCATAGGAGGCAGGGGCAAGGTTAGCAAATACCAGAAGACCTCAGAGCTGGGGGAGGTGTGACTTCCAGAGCCCTGAGAGCAGCCATGCACTATTTGAAAATAGCTTGAGGAGTGTTGACACAGAGAGAATCATCTTTCCAACTTACCTGGCTTACAAATTAGTCTACAGGCAGAAGTTCCTAAACTTTGTGTGACTCCAGCCTTTCTTCTAAGTCTCTCCTCTCCTATCTTACTCTGGGAATTCCTTCTTAGTCTAAAACAGTCTCACTGTATGTGCCGAGAGGAGAACCTATCCTGGTAGCCTTTAGATGCTGCTGTCCCTGCCCAGGGCCGCTCATCCTGGACACAGCTGCAGGGTCCCTCCAAGACTGGTCAGGGACAGTGTAAGGCTGCACTGGGCTAAGGTCATCACATTCAGGTTCTTCTTATTCTTCCTCCTCTTCCTCCTCCTCCTCTTCCTCCTCCTCCTCCTCCTCCTCCTCCTCATCTTCCTCCTCCTCTTCTTCCTCTTCCTCCTCTTCTCCTCCTCCTCCTCCTCCTCCTCTTCTTCTTCTTCTTCTTCTTCTTCTTCTTCTTCTTCTTCTTCTTGATAATGTTCAAAGCACAACTATTTTATTTATTTTTAATAATTTTTTATTTAAATTAAAAACAATCTTATTTTACCTACCAATCCCAGTTCCCTCTTCCTCCTGTCCTCTCATGCCTCCCCACCAAGCCCCTAACCCATGCCCCATACACTCCCCAGGGAGAGTGAGGCCTTCCATGGGGGATCATCAAAGTCTGTCGCATTTGGGACAGGGCCTAGGCCCTCCCCCATGTATCTAGGCTGAGATAGTATCCCTCCAGAGGGAATGGGCTCCCAAAGCCCATTTATGCATTAAAGATAGACATTCACGTTCTTATAAGGAGTGAATTAAACACTGTGAAAGATTCTGTAAATTGTGGAGCATCTTACCCAACATGATACACTGAGTTCTTTCTCCCTTAAGTTGCTTTGGTCGGGGCATTTTATCGCAGCAGCAAAGTTAAACTAAGGCAGCGATTACTCACTCTTCAAGAAGAGCATTAGTGGAACCTAGTTCTATCAGTTTTATTATTCAGTTATCCGAGGTTTCCATTTGGGTCTCAGAAGCCCAGGAGACATTTATCTCTTTAAGATAACTTTAAGACAAGATAGGTCTTCCCAGATCCACCATGCCCCGACCTCCACGTCTGAATTCATGCAGTCTCTCTGACATTCTTCAGTGCTGACACCAGGATCAGCGATGACACTCGGAGATGTCCTTCTGACACGGATGATGTTCTGTCACTGCTAGTTCCCTGTCCGCCCCTTCCGTGCCATACAAAAGTTGTAACAGCCTTATGGGTAAGAACCTGTCCACAAAGCCAGATGCATGGCGAGCTTTAAGGACTAGCGCACAGTAGTGAAGAGACGTGAGAGAGCACGCGTGTTTCGCTGAGTGTAATAAACAAAGGGCTTCACTGTTTTATGTCCTGCTCTGTTGGGAAGCTGGAACCACAAGGCCTCGTCGTCATTCCCTGTACCTGAAGAGGGGCTTGAAGGTGCACTCTTCACTCCCGTCATCCACCCCTGGTTTATGTCATTGGCGTTTTCCATATTAGTCACAACTAAAGTATGAGCAGTAGAACTGGATGCCCCTCCCACCCCATCCTTCCTGCCTGCCCTTTTGTTTTCCTCTGTCCTGGTGACAGCAGCACCCAAGTAGAAAGCACAGCTGGTCAGGAAGCACAGAGTTCAGAAATTAGCGTCTCTGGGCCTTGATAAGTGATAACGCATGCCTGTAATCCAAACACCTAGGAGGCTAGGGTAAAAGAGTTGCTGGTTCAAGGCCAGCCTGGGCTATATATACAATGAGGAAGTGATTCTTCTTCGTCTTCTTCTTCTTCTTCTTCTTCTTCTTCTTCTTCTTCGTCTTCTTCTTCTTCTTCTTCTTCTTCTTCTTCTTCTTCTTCTTCTTTTGCTTTGCTTTAAGTATTCTAGGACTATCTGTTTGTTGCCTTATGGGAGCCATGATGTCCTAATTGGCTTTAATTGTCAACTTGATATACCTTAGAGTCATCTGAGAAGGAAGCCTCAATTGAGGAATTGCCTAGACCAGGTTGACCTGTGAGCATGCCTATAGGGGGGTGACCTTAACTGGTAACTGATGTAGAAGGGTTCTGCCCACTGCAGGAGTTACCATTCCCTTGGTAGTTGGTGCTAGGCGGAAGAAAAAGCTAGCTAACACATATACAAACAACACTGTACAGACTTAGCAGGTTGTATTTATGTATTGATATACATACACACACACACATGACTGCAACAATAATTAATGACAAAAGAGGCTATGAATTTGAAAGGGAACAAGAACGGGTATGTGGGAGGACTTGAAGGGATGAAGGGAAAGTGGAAATGTAATTATATTATACCTTTTTAAAACATTTTTAAAACAATTTTAAAAAGCTAGTTAAGTAGGAGTTGGAGTGAGCCAGCAAGTAATATTCCTCCACGGTTTCTGCTTCAAGTTCCTGTCCTGACTCCTCCCATGATGGACAGTGACTTGGAAGTATAAACCAAACAAATAGTTTCCTCACTTAATTACTATTGGTCATGGTGTTTTATCACAACAGAATGAAACTAGAACATATGACATCTTTCCTGTTTTATGAGACAGATGACAAAGAGTGAATGCATCTTTTCTCTCTCAAATTGAAACCATCTTGAACACTGACTATAGAGAAAAGTCAATAAAGGAAAGATAACTAGACTGGAAAGATGCCTTAGTCAGTAATGTGATTCCCCCACTGGAGTTCCCATCTACAGAAAATTCCAACTATGGCGCCATACACTTTTAATCCTAGTGTAGGGGAAGCAGAGACAGATGGATCCTGGGGTTAGCAGGCAAGCCAATCAAGGCAACCGAGTGAGAGAGTTCCAGGCCAGGGAGAGACCTGTCTGATAGCAGAGATGAATGGGTTCTGAATAAGTGAGGCAGACTTCTGACTTCCCCTCTCATGTGGCACATGCACACCTACACAGGGACATGTGTGCCCATGCAAGGACTTATGTGAGTGCGTGTGCACACGCATGCACACACACAAACTACTTGCTGCACTTTGATTTCTTCTTAGTTCTCTTGAATAGTTCTTTGAAGGCTTCATCATCCACATCTATCAGTTTCTCTTATCTCTACTGCAAAGAGCTACACAACACAACTGGATGTGTTTGGTTCAAATAGCTTAGTATATCA